GATTCTACACTGTCAGAAACAAGGGTACAAAAGCTGGCACTGGGGTGGTACACTTTTGTACTTTACAGCTGCACATTAGTATCTTTAGGTCAGTGGTTCCCAAACTGGGGGTCACACGACAGTGAGTAGGGGGTCGCCTGGTGATTTCCCAAAAAACAAACACATTTTTATTAAACTATTATTAGTACTTTATTTGATCTATAACCTACAGAATATATATATAAAAAAAGTTAATAATTAAAAATAAACACTTATTGGATTGTGAGCCTTGGGGGACTACGTTAGATTAACATCACAGCAATAGCGTTAATTACAGCGTATACATTTTACAGCACCATCTTAAGCTTTCACACATGTTTGGCATTCACTTACATTAAAAATATAGATCACAACTGAACATGGAGGTTGTTCTCTGAGTGGGGGTCTCCAAAATTAAATAATGTACTTGTTGTGTTTCATATACTGTGCCTTTCCATCTCCTTAGGTGATATTCATGTTGAAATTAGGCAAATTAATAAATTACTATAAAAAGGTGTATGGTTAGACTGTTGCATTGTTTGTGTTGTCAATATGCTCATGTTTTATAGGACTATAGAGTGGATGAACTATGACGTCAATTTGTATGCAAAAACCCGGAAGCGAGCTAGCATTTTAGCACTTCCGGTTCCCTCGTCCCAAAGTCAATGGGTTTTTTGAATGGGGTTTCAGTAAAATCACTTAAATAAGGTTTGTGGCTAACACCAACTTAAGATACTTTCACATTTTGTTCTACGACATAAAACACATCAGTTACAGCTCACTCTTCAACTTTTAAATCGATTATGCTTCTTTAAAAAAGACGGTTGCTATCAAGTTGCTAAATGGGACTACAGGCGGTGTCGGGGACATTATACGTCATCGAACTGATCTGGTCTGGAGCGCAGCTCGCTTGTGTTGGACGTTTGGATTTGTCTGTAATTTAGGTATTTTCATGAATAGTATTTTATAGTTTGTTGTATTATTCTAATTGAGAATTCAGATTGTGTGTAGATAATTCCTTCACTTGTAAAGGCTGTCAGGACAGATTCATTTGTTGATCATTTATTTTAATTAAACGATATTATGAAGATACTGCTCACCAGTGCAGCCTGTCTCTCTCCTACTGCCCTGCAGTAATGCAAACGTGTGAATAAATGTGTAAAAATACATGCATATTAACTGTCATTTTAACGTGATCAAGTGATTTCTCGTCTTTTTTTCATCATCTGAATACATTTAACTGCAATATTTACACTCCTCCATAAAACGTTCAGCAGATGTGACTGTATGAGCTGCTTTTCGCTGTACTTCGTGACAAAAAAGAAATATTGAATGTTGCTCTGTGTCCATGATGGAACTTTCAGGCATTTGATTGACTTGTTTCTCCACACGCCTCATTTCTGTCGTCTGTTAAGGTAAGCGGGCTGTGTGCATGCGAGCGATACACTTATTTAAATATATGTCTCATAATAATACTATATAGGCACATTCATACACATTTTTAAAACTTTTAGAACAACCGCAAAGCAAAACAGATTTCCCACGTAAAAACGATCCAAAAGGCACAAAGGTCTATGTGTGTTTGCGTATTTATTAGTTTATAATATATAGCGTGGATTATAATATAATAAACAGAGAGATTAACTCTTTGTCATGGACAATATTTCTAAAAAATAAGCTTGATAAGTCGTCTGTAAAAGGGTGGGGCTGACGTCACTGACGAGCGCCCCGAGGGCTCTGTAGTCCGTTTATAGCCTAATGTTAGCTTTTCAAGTCTTGCGTTTGCATTTAAGATCAAAAAGTGCTCAAAGTTGTATTTTCGTGTGACAATTATCCGGTTGAACAAAACGTGTAAGTGTAATGAACCGTGTTTGAACACAGAGCTTATTATTCGCAATCTTCGAAAACCCTAAGGGAAAATCCTATAGGGATTTTCACGAGGGAACCAGTTTTATGCTAGCAGCCGATTAGCCTACAAAGTGACGTCATAGTTCCTCCACTCTATTGGTCTGTGCACCATTGTGCACAACGTTTGTATATTTCTAACCACCTCAGAGGAAAATAGAGGGATTGTGAGTCCCTGGCATTGTTTTTTTGGGGGTTGTGGCCTAAAAAGATTGGCAATGCCTGTTTTAGCGTACACTTTTGTACAGCTAAAGTTCCCGTTTGTAGCTTTAAGTACTTTGAGGCACAGATTTGTACTTTATTTAGGTATTAATATGCATCATTACAGACTGTTAGGCACAAAATAATACCTGTCGAAAAGGTACCGTCCTGGTGACAGATTTTGTACCTTTATTTCCTACACTCTCAGAAATAAAGGTACGCGAGCTGTCACTGGGGTGGTACCTTTTCAAAAGGTACAAATTTGTACCTTAAAGGTCCATATTAATACCTCAAGGGTACATATTAGTACTTAAAAAGTACAAAAGTGTTCCTCTTAAAATCTTTAGGTACTAATATTTACTTTTGAGGTACCAATATGGACCCTTTAAGTACAAATGTGTACCTTCTGAAAAGGTACCACCCCAGTGACAGCTCGCGTACCTTTATTTCTGAGAGTGTATGAGTGTATTATGCAAACCCTATACTCTATCATCCTACCCCAATCATAACATAAGACAATCTGCAGTTTTACATTTTCAATTTTAAAGTCATGTGTATCTCAATGTCGGTCCTCTCAGCGACAGAAGACCCCACAGGTCTGTGTGCATTAATATGTGTCCCCACTGGGATATAAAAACAAGTACAAGCACACACAATCGAAAGTAAAGGCTATCAGACAGGAAGATGAAAATAAACGATTAGAAAGAGTGTGAAAGAAATATGAAAGAGGAAATAAAAGAGAAAAATGCTTGAGTAAAGAACTCGTTACACTTTAAACGAAATCGAAGCGCGAACTAAAAATTAATAAAAAAAATTTAAAAATCTGAAAATAAAGTTGGTTTAGGCAATTCAAAACAGCTCACTAATGCAAACTTTAGGCACTAAAGTTATTTTTGGCTCCTAAACTCCTTTGAGCTCCCATTGGTTTATTGCAATTACACAATCAGTGGGCGTGTTTTAGGACTCCGCCTTCTTTGATGCGCAATTTCTTCCCTTCCATTCGTATATCACATACATGAGGGTCAGAAAGGAGATTAACGTCCAAACAACAACACTGGAGAGTCGAGTAGCAGAGCTAATAAACTACCTGACAAATGTCTTGTCGCCGATCCATGTTTTTGGGAACAACAAATAATAACTTGACTTCTAGTTGATCATTTGGTATCAGCAGTGGCTTATATGAAAGGTAAAGGCGTCAAGATGACACTTATTTCACCACAATAAAATCTGATCATGCCTTGATTATAAATGATTTCATTAGGACAGTAAGCTCTCACTTTGCTTAGATAAAAGTCTCATCACTGAACAGAAATAATGTCCAGTATAGAATATAAAGTCCTGCTGCAGTGAAGACAAAATGAATATTGTGTCTGACTCCATCATGAGCTTGGAGGACTGCATCCATACATCTCTGACATGACTCAAATCACTGATTAATAAAGTCATCTGGAATGGCAAAGAAAGAGTTCTTGTAGGACTCCCAGAGTTCATCAAGATTCTTTAGATTTTCTTCAATGCCTCCTCCATCTTACAGACATGCTCAATAATGTTCATGTCTGGTGACTGGGCTGGCCAATCCTGGAGCACCTTGACCTTCTTTGCTTTCAGGAGCTTTGATGTGGAGGCTGAAGTATGAGAAGGAGCGCTATCCTGCTGGAGAATTGTCCCTCTCCTGTGGTTTGTAATGTAATGGGCAGCACAAATGTCTTGATAGCTCAGGCTGTTGATGTTGCTAAACATTCTGCAGATCTCAGACCCCAAACCATGATTTTTCCTTCACCAAACTTGACTGATTTCTATGAGAATCTTGGGTCCATGCGACCTCATGCCACTTTTGACGAAGTCAAGTTATTATTTGTTGCTTATTTGTTTACGACAAGACTTTTGTCAGGTAGTGTACAGATGTATCCGCACCTGAATGATTTTAAAGACTTGGTGGGGGTCACACTGAAACAAGCAGTGTGAGTTTGCGCACTCTGCGTGAGTGGTGCCATTTAGTGTCTGTACAAAGCAAATAGTAAACAATGAATGCCCATAGTGTAGCTTCTCCTGGAGAAGACTGGAAGATGTTTATGAAACTGTTCTCTCACAGCCACCAATGGGAATGAATAGCCAATTATTCCTGTGTATGTTTTATGCAGCGGATGTCCTTCCAGCTGCAACCCAGTACTGGGAAACACCCATACACACTCATACACTACGGCCAATTAAGCTTACCCAATTCCCCTATAGCGCATGTGTTTAGACTGTGGGGAAAACCGGAGGAAACCCACACCAATACGGGGAGAACATGCAAACTCCACACAGAAATGCCAACTGATCCAGCCGGGACTTGAACCAGTGACCTTTTCGCTGTGAGGTGAGAGGGCTAACCACTTAGCCACCCCCACATCAACCAGATCTTAAAATAAAATACAAATATCATTAATTCCTTTCAGTGATAAAGAAACAGCGAGACTTCACTGGCATTTCTATCCTACGAGAAAGCGACAGTCACAGAAAACAAAGTCGAAGGTGAAGAAAGAAAAGGCTGAGAGCAAAGTGAAGGAATTCAGGCGGGCACATTCGCAAGGTGCCACCGAAACGCTTTTGAAGTGCAGGAGAGCGCAAGTAATCTTCAGAGGGCATGAAGCGCACCCTTATTAGGAGGGCACAAGAGACCGAGAGAAGGAAACGTCCAATGTAAACAACAGCCAAAACACTTCCAGTTGCTCTGCTGGGATTTTCCATGGCGTCATTTACGGTACCACAGGAAAAAAAGGAGCGACGAGAAGACGAGCTGTGGTCTCCTAAAAGCTTGATTACCACCGTTTCTAACCACATATATCTGTCTCTTTCTGTACTGGTGTGTCTCTGCTGCAGAAGTCGTGTGTTACCTTGTAAGTGTTTAACCACGGTGAGCCACGCCGACTGGTTGGCTTGGCCTATATAATTGGACACTTTACATATATACTCTCCGCTTTGTTCTTCGGTCACGTTGTACAGGGTCAAGACCTGTGTGTCCGAGCTGTTGACCCCAGAGTTCTGCGGAGGCCAAACACACGGTCAATTATCCATCCCTGCTGGCATTTTTAATGCTGTAATGAAACTGGTTAGGACAATCTGTGGAGAACACACTCAAAAACATGAAGATGAATGTGTAGTAAATTAGAAATTGTAGTTTTCTTGGCAGATTCTGATTTCTAATTTTCTGGTGAGCGTGATCTGCCGATATATAGATTTTTATTGCCGATGTGTGATTTTCTTTCTAAGCACTGTCATTTAAAGCATCCAAATAGATTACAAACACAAATATACTTTTGTTCCATGTTTTCATAACAAAACATTATTTATTAAAATTAATTACATTCATTTTAAAATGATATTTTTATAAATTTATACATATATATTTATATATATTTATACAACAGTTCTATCTGGTTCTCAAATCTGATTGGCTGATAGCCGTGCAATATTCCGCAATATCAGCACTCGCACAGCCTCTTCACTCTTGTGTATTACTCCCTCCCACATGACGAGCAGAAAAATAAGATCAGTTTGACAAATATTGCAGCTGTTGGACAACATGATGTACTTTTGAGTTTCTTTAGGCGAGAATGTAGTTGTTTAGATTGCAACTATGCAGTTTATTTATAAGGATAGTGCCTTTTTTAAAATATTTATAATTTCAGAGATTCCACTAGACGGCGGCCATCAGCCTGTCATACTGAGAAGAGCAAAGCCGGTTGATGTTCTGCCACAAGATGTTGACAGACTGCATAATAACTTAGCATAAATTTCAAACTACAGCTGAACAAATCATTGTAAAACAAGTAAGTAACACCTGATAGTGCTGTTTTAACAGTAATCTGCTAGTGTTTGCTTTGCTTTGGCTTTTTCTGGATTAATTATTGTGAAATCATGATTGCAACAGAGAAATACTGGGATATCTCTGTAGACTGATGGCATTTCATGCTGTTCAGCATTATAATCTTAAAATCGCCTGTTTTGTCATTACTTTAGACATTACGCTAGAGAATCATTTAAACACTAGCTCTAAAATGACGTTAGTCGATGAGCAACGGTTTCTGCTGTTCTGACATCAGCCGCAGATGTGAATAAATGGTGGAAGAAAGTAGTTCCTCTCACAACATGGTTTTTTAGACTCTCCTTGTTTGATTTTCTTTTTTATATATACGATCATGCCATTGAACTGTTGTATAAACGCAATATCACACGACTAGCAGTGCGATGTGGCTGTATATTGTCACTAGTGGGACATCAAACGCGCTTTATGCTGCTTATGCGCCCTGCACGCCTAGCATTTTAACCGCCTGCTGCACCTCGTGTTTTTCCCCTTGCGCGCGATGCGCTTTCAGTTGAAGTGAAATCACCTTTGAGTGGAAAAAGTGCAGCTTGACCAGCCTGGTTTAAGCTGGACATAGCTGGTTTTGGCTGGGCTCCCAGCCTGGCTAGGCTGGTCAAGCTGGTTTTAGCTGGTCATCTCCCAGCCTGACCAGCTAAGACCAGGCTGGAAATGGCTGGAAACCAGGCTGGAAATGGCCAAAACCCCTCTAAAACCAGCCTGGTCGACCAGCAGAAACCAGCCAACCAGCTTAGGCTGGTTTAAGCTGTTTTTTTTTCAGTAGGGACTGTTGCAAACTGCAACACAAACTTTAAATTTTCGTTCCCCCTCCCTTATTTCACAAATGTCCACAGATTATAAACATATGTTAAATATGCTTTAATTAATATTTGTGTGTATAGTTTTGTACTATTATTTTATATACATACACATTTGTAGTTTTGGTGATGGACTTTCTAGGAGCTTAAATTTGACAAAGGTTTCTTGCACTGTCTAATAGCAGTTTTGACAGATATGCCGAGTTGTTTTGTTCACTCACACAGCAAACACTTTAAAAATATCTTGAAAGAATAAAAATAATAATGACTTTAAGTGCATTTAAACGGATTAAACAGCATTAATCTATCAAAACCCTCGCTGTTTTTATACGGGTAATTAGTTGTCATATTCTGTGATAACTGGCTGGATGTGCATTATCCTATACTTGACAGAAACACTGAGAGGCTCGTTCGTGTTTGTCTATTTTCTTTTACCTTTAAGGCTCGGACATATGGCAGTCCATCAGGTCCGTATCTGCTGCCGTTCACCTCGATGTGTTTCAGCCACTGAATGTGAGGCTGAGGATCGCTGAACACTTTACACTCGAACTCCACATCACTGCCCACCACTGCGGTACGGTTTGCAGGCAGCCCGGCCTGGAGGATCGGCCGGTGCGGTGAACGCTCTGAACAAAGCACAATATACGAGTTAAAACCAATCAAATTAGATCCAAGGAACACTTCACTTTTATTCAGAAAATAGGCTCCCCTAGGGGAGCATTTTTTGCTTTTAACCATGTTTTGAATCAATTTAGTCAATCTCTGGGACTTTTAGCTTAGTTAAGCATAAATGATTAACACTTGAACAACTGAGGCAGTCATTTTGCCCATTTTTAAACATTGCAACTTAATAATTTTGTTGAAATAAAACCTGCATATCTAAAATAGCTTGACGTTTCCAAAATATGTGTATATTTTTTCACAAAAGAGATAGAAGAGTATTTCTACCATAGCGGTACAACAACTTTAACCATAAGGTTAAAACAAAACAAAACGTTTCTCCTTCACGAGACTCGACACTTGTAAACACTCGACGCTTGACGCAGAAGTATAAATCAACCTTAAGGAATCAAGACCCGGGAGTTTTTAAGCACTCGTGCACATCACATCAGCTGAGTGCGCAACACTAAAGCCCTCATCAGTGAGCGAGAATCGCCTGTGTCTCACCGCGCACCTAATCATCCTCTCATTCGGTATTCACCTGCTTTCTTTTGCTCACGCGAACACTTATCAGTCATGCTGCTTCTCGATTCTAAGGCTCCGTTTACACTAATGTGTTTTAGTTTGAAAACGCGTAAGTTTTGCTACGGTTACGCCATCCGTCCACACTACGCCGGAGTTTTCGAGCGCCGAAAACAGAGTGTTTTGGAAAGGCTGAAGAGGCCGTTTTCATTCTGAAACGCTGCTGCTCTGTCTCAGTGTGGATGAGGGAAAACGGAGACATCTGAAAACGGAGGCGGGGCTGCTGAGATTCGCTACCTGATTGGGGCTTTTGTGTCATTGCGTATCCCTCCCTTATTCGTCAAGCCTCTATCACATGACTATAACACATGGCTTTAACGCTACTGAAAGACAGCAGACCAGCCTTCACTGTAAACAACAACATGGACACAGACATGGGAGCGTTGTTTGCACTATTGTCTGTTTTAGGCAGCATTGAGTTATTCATTTGTTACGTTTAGTACAACTCGACCTCGTCGTCTGTCCACAAAAATAGCTCTCTTGCTTTCTTTACCATCGCGTTCATTGTTCAACCGGCGTTTGTTGACTACCAATAACCAAATGTCGAGCGAGACACATGCTTCCTGTTTATACTAGAACGCTCATGCCCGGAGTGCGCGAATGGTCACGTGATATACGTTTTTGGTGGCGTAGTGTGGACGGAGATATGTTCAGAAACGCTAGGTGAACCGCTAGTGTGGACGCGGATCGTTTTTGATCTAAAACGCCGTTTTAAAACTAAAACACACTAGTGTAAACGGGGCCTAAGATTACATTTGCACGCATATTGTCAAATGATCATACTCTAACATTTAATTTTTTTAGTGATGAGCCAGCACCGGCCATCTAAAAACTATTGTCAACCAGGCAAAGTGGCTGTCGAACCCACCACAGCTGAAATCTACTCGAATTTGGCGGGTTGGCCGGTGTTAATGTAAAGCCCTGGTCGTTATAAATAATAGTACAACGACAAGGCAAGCGTGTCAACTATAAAAGCCTTTACAACTCGTGGCTGAGCGTACGCATTCAGCAGAGGCTTTCGCTGGGGACCTGATGAAAGTACATACAAGACTCAACTGGTGGTGCAAGTGTAGGGTTTGGTTCTGGGGACTATTATCAGGCATTGTATAACATCATCGTGCCTGTTGCAGCCATGGTACAGCAGCAAAGTTCCTTGATTAATATGCTGGAAGAGACCCTCAAGAGAAACCTCAAGAAATCAAATAGTAGATCAGTGTTACGACTAAAGGGATATCCAATAGATTTTTATCATCGACTAAAAAAGCAGGAAGCAGCCACTTTAGCATGCACACTATACATTTATAATAATTGCTGTAATTTAGTGGAAATAAGTGGAAATGTTATTTTAAGCCACTGCCCGTCTCTCAGGACGTCTGACCAAAGGCCAGCCTAAAAAAAACTTTAAAAATAAAAGGAAAACCAACCTAAAGTACATTAAAATGTAGATTAGTTTTATGTATTTTTTGTGTTTTTAAGAGCAATATTGAGATGATACTGAACACTTAAAACAGTTAATTAACAGATATGTCATGATTCTCAGGTTTTTTTTTTCTATTTATTTAGTTACGAATTGCATTATTTTGCCATTTTAGTAGATTGAAACTATATATTGTATTAGAAAAAGGTAACTCTTTAGTTTAAGCAACAACTCACACTGTTTACTACTGACTTACTATTAAAATATTAGCTGTTATTAGCACTTATAAAGTATAAACCTATTTTACATCCCTAATCCTACCCAATGACTAAACCCAAATACTATCTTACTAACTATTAAGGAGAAGCTAATTAGTAGTTTATTGCTGTAAAAGTCTTATTCAATTGTCTACATTAAAATCAAGTGTGAAGATAAATATATATATATATATACATAGAGAGAGCGAGAATTAAGTCTGTAAAAGGACAGAAAAGGCACTGACAGTTTATTATTAAGTTTTTTAAATACTTGTTGGAGCCCCTTTTGCTTTCAGAACTGCCTTAATCCTTCGTGGCAGAGATTCAACAAGGTATTGGAAATATTCCTCAGAAATTTTGGTCCACATTGAGATGATAGCATTAAGCAGGTGCTGCAGATTTATCAGCTGCACATCCATGATGCGAAATCACCCACTCCACCACATCCCAAAGGTGCTCTATTGGATTGAGCTCTGGTGACTGTGGAGGCCATTTGAGTGCAGTGAACTCATTGTCATGTTCAAGAAACCAGTCTGAGATGATTGGCGCTTTATGACATGGTGCGTTATCCTGCTGGAAGTAGCCATCAGATGATGTGTACACTGTGGTCATAAAGGGATGGACATGGTCAGCAGCAATACTCAGGCAGGCTGTGGCGTTGACACGCTGCTCAGTTGGTACTAATGAGCTAAGAAAATCTCCCCCACACCATTACACCAGCACCACCAGCCTGAACCGTTGATACAAGGCAGGATAGATCCAAGCTTTCATGTTGTTGATGCCAAATTCTGACCCGACCATCCAAATGTGGCAGCAGAAATGGACTCATCAGACCAGGCAACGTTTCTCAGTTGTAACGAGTGCTTATTTGAGTTACTGTTGCCTTTCTATCAGCTGGAACCAGTCTGGCCATTCTCCTCTGACCTCTGGCATCAACAAGGCATTTGCGCCCACAGAACTGCCGCTCACTGGATAATTTCTCTTTTTCAGACCATTCTCTGTAAACCCTAGAGATGGTTGTGCGTGAAAATCCCAGTAGATCAGCAGTTTCTGAAATACTCAGACCAGCTCGTCTGGCACAAACAACCACGTTCAGAGTCGCTTAAATCCCCTTTCTTCCCCATTCTGATGCTCAGTTTGAACTGCATCAGATCGTCTTGACCATGTCTACATGCCTAAATGCATTGAGTTGCTGCCATGTGGCTGATTGGAAATTTGCGAGCAGTTGGACAAGTGTACCTAATAAAGTGGCCGGCTAGTGTATAACACACACACATCCTAAATTAAATTTTTTTTGTGATTAATCTTTGCCCATCAAACTTGAATTACTAAATACATATTTAAAATATATATATATATATATGTATTTTTAAAGTGTAAACCATGTTAAAAGCTTCAGCTTCTAATCGCAACAACATTTGATATCATCATAAGCCTTGTACTAATACAGAGCATGGCATTAATGTGTGAGTGTCTAGTGTGTGTGTGTGTGACAAACTCAGACGCAGTCTTCTCATGAATGTGTATGCATGGTGCAAATGATGTCACAGCGGGCTCCGTCAACATGGGTGTAACACTGATTTATGTGCAACTTAATGAAGGCATCAATCAAGCCCATGTCAGCCAATCAGTGTTGGAGTTACTTTATTCCAAATACTCTGATCTCATCTTGAGCCACTAACCGCGTCTCTAACTCATCCACTTCATCGCGTAAACACTTTATTTTTGCAATGGATCATTTAAAATGCATGATCAACAGAGTGCACGTGACGTCCTTGCCAAACACGCACACACACAGAGACGCACACAATGTGTAAATCCACCCGTTACTTCGCTTCATTTGAGGGAGTAATGGTAAGCATAAGTGGTGCTGCGCTAAAGCATTAGCCGCTTGGTGTACAGCAGCCATTTGCATCTAATTGAGTCGGGTAAACATTGCAGCGGTCCCATGACCGACCCTTGGGGAATCATTTTCCTGTGCAAGCTAAATAACGTGAATCGATTTAATCAAAGGGTTTTGTAATAAATCACTGCGACTGACTTGGTGGGGGAGGAGGGGGACCAATACAGATTTGTCCACATGGAAAGTTTGACTTGAAAATGGTTAACATGAAGCGTGCCTGCTTCGCCAATTCAATCATTCATTCATTTCAGTTCCCTATTTATCAGGGGTCACCACAGTGGAATGAACCGCCAGCTATTCTAGCCCGTTTCACACAACAGATGCCTTTCCAGCTGCAACCCAGTACTGGGAAACACCCATACACTCTCCCTATTTATCAGGGGTCACCACAGTGGAATGAACCGCCAGCTATTCTAGCCCGTTTTACACAACAGATGCCTTTCCAGCTGCAACCCAGTACTGGGAAACACCCATACACTCTCCCTATTTATCAGGGGTCACCACAGTGGAATGAACCGCCAGCTATTCTAGCCCGTTTCACACAACAGATGCCTTTCCAGCTGCAACCCAGTACTGGGAAACACCCATACACTCTCCCTATTTATCAGGGGTCACCACAGTGGAATGAACCGCCAGCTATTCTAGCCCGTTTCACACAACAGATGCCTTTCCAGCTGCAACCCAGTACTGGGAAACACCCATACACTCTCCCTATTTATCGGGGGTCACCACAGTGGAATGAACCGCCAGCTATTCTAGCCCGTTTTACACAACAGATGCCTTTCCAGCTGCAACCCAGTACTGGGAAACACCCATACCCTCTCCCTATTTATCAGGGGTCACCACAGTGGAATGAACCGCCAGCTATTCTAGCCCGTTTTACACAACAGATGCCTTTCCAGCTGCAACCCAGTACTGGGAAACACCCATACACTCTCACATTCACACACACACACACACTTATACACTGCGCCCAATTTAGTTTCTTCAATTCTCCTTTGGCGCATGTGTTTGGACTGTGGGGGACACTGGAGCACCCAAAGGAAACCCACACCAACATCGGGAGAACATGCAAACTCCACACAGAAATGCCAACTGAGCCTAATTTACATCTAATTTACATTAATAAGACGCAATTTATAGGTTTATCGTTTTGTTTAAGTTGTCTCAAAATGTACATTTCAGAAAACAGGTATTACTCTCTGCACACATGATCGCACACTGAAATGACGCAGGCCTGCACCAGGTCAGTACCTGGATAGGAGACCACATGGGAAAGCTAGGTTGTTGACAAAAGTGGTGTTAGAGAGGCCAGCAGGGGGAGCTCAACTTGTGGTTTGTATGGGTCCTAATGCCCCAGTATAGTGAAGGGGACTCTATTGGCCCGTTTCCACTGTCAAAAAGTACCAAAAAGCGAACCATACCCAGGGCCGGCGCGTCGATAGAGGCGACCTAGGCGGCCGCCTAGGGTGGCAGTATAGAGAGGGCGGCGTCTGCAACACCTCCCTTACCACCTGCGTCCTCAATTATGTCCGCGACACCTCCCTCACCACCCGCGTCCTCAGATATATTCGCGCATAGACGATAGAATAGAGAGGGCGGCGTCAGCGTCACCTCCACCACCACCCGCGTGTCCTCAGTTATACCCGCGCATAGGGCGGCAGAATAAAGAGCGCAGTGTCTGCGACACCTCCCTCCCTCCCTCCCTCAGCACCCCCGCGTCCTCAGTTATATCCACGCATAGGGCGACAGAATAAAGAGCACAGTGTCCGCGACACCTCCCTCCCTCAGCACCCGCGCGTCCTCAGTTATATCCACGCATAGGGCAGCAGAATAGAGAAGGCAGTGTCCGCCAGTCTGCGACACCTCCCTCCCTCAGCACCCGCGCGTCCTCAGTTATATCCACGCATAGGGCGGCAGAATAAAGAGCGCAGTGTCCACGACACCTCCCTCCCTCCCTCAGCACCCGCGCGTCCTCAGTTATATCCGCGCATAGGGCGGCAGAATAAAGAGCGCAGTGTCCACGACACCTCCCTCCCTCCCTCAGCACCCGCGCGTCCTCAGTTATATCCGCGCATAGGGCGTCAGAATAAAGAGCGCAGTGTCCGCGACACCTCCCTCCCTCAGCACCCGCGCGTCCTCAGTTATATCCACGCATAGGGCGTCAGAATAAAGAGCGCAGTGTCCGCGACACCTCCCTCCCTCCCTCCCTCAGCACCCGCGCGTCCTCAGTTATATCCGCGCATAGGGCGTCAGAATAAAGAGCGCAGTGTCCGCGACACCTCCCTCCCTCAGCACCCGCGCGTCCTCAGTTATATCCACGCATAGGGCGACAGAATAAAGAGCACAGTGTCCGCGACACCTCCCTCCCTCAGCACCCGCGCGTCCTCAGTTATATCCACGCATAGGGCAGCAGAATAGAGAAGGCAGTGTCCGCCAGTCTGCGACACCTCCCTCCCTCAGCACCCGCGCGTCCTCAGTTATATCCACGCATAGGGCGGCAGAATAGAGAAGGCAGTGTCCGCCAGTCTTTGACACCTCCCTCCCTCCCTCAGCACCCGCGCGTCCTCAGTTATATCCACGCATAGGGCGGCAGAATAAAGAGCGCAGTGTCCACGACACCTCCCTCCCTCCCTCAGCACCCGCGCGTCCTCAGTTATATCCGTGCATAGGGCGTCAGAATAAAGAGCGCAGTGTCCGCGACACCTCCTTCCCTCAGCACCTGCGCGTCCTCAGTTATATCCACGCATAGGGCGTCAGAATAAAGAGCGCAGTGTCCGCGACACCTCCCTCCCTCCCTCCCTCAGCACCCGCGCGTCCTCAGTTATATCCGTGCATAGGGCGTCAGAATAAAGAGCGCAGTGTCTGCGACACCTCCTTCCCTCAGCACCCGCGCGTCCTCAGTTATATCCACGCATAGGGCGGCAGAATAGAGAAGGCAGTGTCCGCCAGTCTGCGACACCTCCCTCCCTCCCTCAGCACCCGCGCGTCCTCAGTTATATCCACGCATAGAGCGGCAGAATAGAGAAGGCAGTGTCCGCCAGTCTGCGACACCTCCCTCCCTCCCTCAGCACCCGCGCGTCCTCAGTTATATCCGTGCATAGGGCGTCAGAATAAAGAGCGCAGTGTCCGCGACACCTCCTTCCCTCAGCACCCGCGCGTCCTCAGTTATATCCACGCATAGGGCGTCAGAATAAAGAGCGCAGTGTCCGCGACACCTCCCTCCCTCCCTCCCTCCCTCAGCACCCGCGCGTCCTCAGTTATATCCACGCATAGGGCGGCAGAATAGAGAAGGCAGTGTCCGCCAGTCTTTGACACCTCCCTCCCTCCCTCAGCACCCGCGCGTCCTCAGTTATATCCATGCATAGGGCGGCAGAATAAAGAGCGCAGTGTCCACGACACCTCCCTCCCTCCCTCAGCACCCGCGCGTCCTCAGTTATATCCGTGCATAGGGCGTCAGAATAAAGAGCGCAGTGTCCGCGACACCTCCTTCCCTCAGCACCCGCGCGTCCTCAGTTATATCCACGCATAGGGCGTCAGAATAAAGAGCGCAGTGTCCGCGACACCTCCCTCCCTCCCTCCCTCAGCACCCGCGCGTCCTCAGTTATATCCGCGCATAGGGCGTCAGAATAAAGAGCGCAGTGTCCGCGACACCTCCTTCCCTCAGCACCCGCGCGTCCTCAGTTATATCCACGCATAGGGCGGCAGAATAGAGAAGGCAGTGTCCGCCAGTCTGCGACACCTCCCTCCCTCCCTCAGCACCCGCGCGTCCTCAGTTATATCCACGCATAGAGCGGCAGAATAGAGAAGGCAGTGTCCGCCAGTCTGTGACACCTCCCTCCCTCCCTCAGCACCCGCGCGTCCTCAGTTATATCCACGCATAGAGCGGCAGAATAGAGAAGGCAGTGTCTGCCAGTCTGTGACACCTCCCTCCCTCCCTCAGCACCCGCGCGTCCTCAGTTATATCCACGCATATTGCGGCAGAATAAAGAGCGCAGTGTCCACGACACCTCCCTCCCTCAGCACCAGCGCGTCCTCAGTTATATCCGTGCATAGGGCGTCAGAATAAAGAGCGCAGTGTCCGCGACACCTCCTTCCCTCAGCACCCGCGCGTCCTCAGTTATATCCACGCATAGGGGATCAGAATAAAGAGCGCAGTGTCCGCGACACCTCCCTCCCTCCCTCCCTCCCTCAGCACCCGCGCGTCCTCAGTTATATCCGCGCATAGGGCGTCAGAATAAAGAGCGCAGTGTCCGCGACACCTCCTTCCCTCAGCACCCGCGCGTCCTCAGTTATATCCACGCATAGGGCGGCAGAATAGAGAAGGCAGTGTCCGCCAGTCTGCGACACCTCCCTTCCTCCCTCAGCACCGGCGCGTCCTCAGTTATATCCGCGCATAGAGTGCCGGAAAAGAGGTCCGCGACACCTCACTTCATTTTCATAACCGGTCCCTTTCGTTATCACATTGGGGTTGAGGGCGGCGTGATCGTCCTCTGCCTAGAGCGGCAGTTCAGCGTGCTCTGGCCCTGACCATACCGCACCACTTTTTGGGTACCCTTTTGAAAATGGTACCAAAAGGCGGAGCTAGACGTGCAGCTGAACACGACTGGTTTACAGAGAAACATCACTAGCGTGTACACAAGGAGTAATAAGGAGCAAGGAGAATAAAAACAAAGAAAGCGTCATTTTTAAATACACAGCCGAGACATTACATCGTTATAATATACACATAACAAAACAAGTCATGGTCGACCAGAGCTCAAACAAACCTTGTCGTGGAGCCACAAAGCCAAGAAGAACAAAATCTGCCATGTCCTGTTTTGGTTTTAAGAGGTCGTCTAAAAGCGCGAACGGTTTCACTTTCTCCAGAGAGCTCGAGTAAACTCGCAGTGCATCTATATTTTAATTAACGAACTTCTAGAGCTGACGATAATAACGTGCGGTTGATTGTTGAAGTGCTTCTTCCTAAAAAGTTAGGAAAGCATTCCAATGCCTTTATTAAAACGTTAGATGTGTGCATTATTAAAGTGACGACCTCTGTTATGTAATTAAATAAAAAAAAATTAATTGCTCTTTAAACAGAATGTGTAAGTTATACAGTGAAGAAAAGGTTCATGATAATTCATAACTTGATTTTATTTCTTTATAATAGATATTACTTTTAACAAGCCGAACTGTTTGCTAATTTATTTGCTGCTAATTTATACTGTTTTTTCTTTTGTTAATAATAATAAAACATATTACTGACCGTTTAACTGTTTATTTACAATGAAACAGCTCCAGACTAACATATTTAGTAATTATTTTTTTGGGGGGAAGGGGGTGTCTTATGGTAGGCATATCCCTTATTTTCCCATCCCAATGTTGACAGGTATGGCTTTGAGTGTCCAGAAAAGCGCTATATAAATGCAGAATTATTATTATTATTATTATTATTATTACTGACCGACTACGTCCAGCTGGTATGTGTGATTGATGCTGCCGTGTCTGTTTTCCACCAGGCAGGTGTAGTTTCCTCTGTCTGACGGCACCACTGACTCCATTATGATGGTCCACATGTGCTCTCGTACCTGTGAGGTGAAATAATAAGATGTAAAATAAGTAAACAGATCCTGCATGAGTCCAAGAATCAAAGTAGCACATATAGCTGGAAAAGGTTTAAAAAGTGAATTTATTAATATTATAAATAATGTTCAATTTCTTACATCGTTCGGCTTTACAAGGCCTTAGCGTGTCGTCAGAAGCCGTAACTATTGATTTGGACTCGCTTACATGTGTTTATTTTGAATCTAAAAAACCTGTCACCATTCACTTCCAATATACAAAATCACCAAGAACAACAGATTGAGCTTAAAGACACAAAGTTGACTCGTGGGTGGGTAAATTAACAGGACATTTTCATTTTTAGGTGCATTGCCCCTTTAAGTTGGCATTTTGGTGAACTTCTATAGTCATACTCTGCTTTCAGAAACTGCTGAATGCATTTAGAGGGCTGATCTGATCTGTCTTTTCAGATTGAAATGAAAGGCTGAGGAAGTTCAACAGAGCGAGTTGGCAGCAAATCCGCTTCAGGTCGGTTTAACATCAGTCAGGCACAAGATCAGAGTCATGGAGAACAGCTTGTTCCTCGGTGGAGAGCGGGAAACAGGCCACCATGTCCACCAAAACAGGCCTTTTCTCAAGCCAAGAGCTCTATGATCTGCCAGCATGCATCAAACTCCAGTCTATTCATAAAAAAGGTCTGCTAAAGCAGCACATGCCTCTTGTTGCAGAAGTGTTTCTAACACAGTACATATTTCCCAAGTGCTGTATATATGGAACCTCCCTTTTTTATTTTCTTCTAGATGAAGTCTTATTTCTTGTAGTTTTAAGTCATATTTCCCTTTAAATCCTTAATTTGTCTTTTCTATAGAACTATGGAACGAGAACAAAGACTCTCGAATACACAAGACGTGCCACTCGTATAGTTTTTAATTGAGAATAGTGTAAAAGTCAATATAGTGAATGGAGCCCCGCCTTCTAGGACAGGAGCCAATCGGTGATCACTATAGACTGAGGATGCGCCGGGAGCAGATTTTGTTTGATTCGAACGTTTAGAAATGAAACTAAAGAGTCAGTTGTTTAATTTTATTGCAGACACCTAATATGAAATTGAATCGTATGCTTAGCAAGACATTTTAGAGAATTTGATGTTTCCTTGTTCAAACGGAATGCCCGAGCACATAGACATATACACTAGATAACGCATACAGATAATGCAGAGCACAATTTACATTTACAAAATCCTATTCGTAAATTCAAAACGCAATTTGTGAATTCACAAGTAAAAGTCTTAAATATGTATATTATAGAATAAAATTATATTCATAAAGTAAAAGAGTGTTATGAATTTGTGAAATAAATTTGTGCATTTACGAATTGTGTTTTGAATTTACAAATTGAATTTACAGATTTACGCATTTACAAATTAAATTTGCAGATTTACGAATTGTATTTACGCATATATGTATTGTGTTTTGAATATACGAATTGCATTTGGGCATTTACGAATTGTGTTTTGAATTTACGAACTGACTTTGCAGATTTACAAATTGGATTTGTGCATTTACGAATTGTTTTGAATTTACGAATTGATTTTGCAGATTTACAAATTGGATTTGTGCGTTTACAAATTGTTTTTTGAATTTACGAATTGAATTAGCAGATTTACGAATTGCATTTGCGCATTTACGAATTGTGTTTTGAATATACAAATTGGATTTGCAGATTTACAAATTGGATTTGCGCATTTACGAATTGTGTTTTGAACTCACGAATTGAATTTGCTGATTTACGAATTGGATTTGCGCATTTACGAATTGTGTTTTGAATATAAAAATTGGATTTGCAGATTTACAAATTGGATTTGTGCATTTACGAATTGTGTTATGAATTTACAAATTGAATTTGCAGATTTACAAATCTGATTTGCGCATTTTCGAATTGTGTTTTGAATATATGAATTTGATTTGTGCATTTAGGAATTGTGTTTTGAATTTACAAATTGAATTCGCAGATTTACGAATTGGATTTTCGCATTTACGAATTGGGTTTTGAATATACTAATTGAATTTTGAATTAACATATTTACGAATTGGATTTGCGCATTCACAAATTGTGTTTTAAATAACAAATTGTATTTTAAATTTACAAATTGCGTTTTCAATTTACGAATTCAATTTTTTAAAATGTGAATTGTGAATTGTAAATGCACAATTTTTGAGACTAATCTGGGCCCATTTAATACCACCGCCATATTGGTACAGTATTCACAGGACAGAAGATAATACATTTCCATGCACACAAATACACACTCTTCGTCGGTAATGCCCATGCGGTCAACTTATCCATCAATATAGAAAAGTGATGTAAAATTATAACATTCGTCAATTAAAAAAATATTTGCATACTGACCACCAGAAAATCATGTGTATATATACCTATGGCTGCTAATGGCCAGTTCTCCACTACACATTGGTCCCACATTCATTTTAAAAAAGCGCCGCCCCTTACTAAAATGGCGGCTCTATAGACCATTTCAATGTGGTCATGTCATTGGCCCATAAACATTTCCTGCTTGTTATCAAACTATTTCATACGTACAACAAGAGGCAATTCGATCATAACTTAATGCAAAGACAGATAACATAACACATTCAATATGTGGCTCTTATGGATTGTCGGAAGCTATAGAAATTAAAAAAGTCAAACAGGAAATACATTGGGATAACTGTTTTTGTTTACATCCCTCAAACTGCTCTACTGTCTAAATATCTAGGACCCGAGCATACTGCCCGAGAGGCATTTTAAAGATGGCCGCTGAGTTACTTGCCTTAAAGGGATTTTGTCGAGAGTGACAAGGCAAGTAAATGAAAACAGGATTTTCAACTTTTTGAGGTAAATGAAACCTATAAAAGTCCAGCAGAAAGAGCCTGCGGTAACCTCACGGCTTTGTTACTGTGGCTTGATCATATGAACAAAATGAATAAGAGGTTATGGCTTCTCGGCCTACAGAACCCCAGATGTGAGCACACATACACACGCACAGTCTGCCTGACTTCCTCTTCACAAACGCTTAATGTAAATGAACAATCGTGCCAGACTCGTTAAACAAAAGAAACCACGAGAGACTGGGAGAAGTGCTTTGGGGGAGCTAAAACTTACTCAAAAAATCTGCTGGGGTCCCGACGGAAGCCCTTCACACTCACTGGAGCTCGAAGACACGTTTGGCTGCATTAACGCACGCCTGGCTATCGCTAAGATATGCTATCCAGTCTGTGTGCACGCTAAAACAATAAACACAACAAGTTCCAAAAAGGAAGTTTGTATGTCGGTGCGCATGTTACTCTTCGTGCATGTATGCATGTGTGTGTGTATGCAGTGCAGTGGCCTCAAACACACTCCAGATGGTAAAGTGTGTATGCGGTGAGGAGAGGAAGAGGACTAATGTCTCCCAGCTGGAGCACACCTTGATGAGAAACACAGGTCCACAATGACAGCAGCGGGAGAAGATCATTTTAATGCCATGCAGCAGAAAGAACAACAAAATATGATTGAAAAATGTTTTTTCATGAATTTACGAATTGGATTTGCGCATTTACGAATTGTGTTTGAATTTATGAATTGGATTTGCGTATTTACTAATTGTGTATTGAATTTAAGAATTGGATCTTGAATTTACAAATTGAATTTGCAGATAAACAAATCGGATTTGCGGATTTAGAAATTGTGTTTTGTATTTACGAATTAGATTTGCGCATTTACGAATAGTGTTTTAAATTTATGAATTGGATTTCGAATTTACAAATTGAATTTGCAGATTTACGAATTGGATTTGCGCATAGACGAATTGTATTTTGAATATACGAATTGGATTTGTGCATTTAGGAATTGTGTTTTGAATTTACAAATTGAATTCGCAGATTTACGAATTGGATTTTCGCATTTACGAATTGGGTTTTGAATATACGAATTGAATTTTGAATTTACATATTTACGAATTGGATTTGCGCATTCACGAATTGTGTATTGAATTTACGAATTGGATTTTGAATTTACAAATGGAATTTGCAGATAAACTAATCGAATTTGCGCATTTACAAATTGTGTTTTGTATTTACGAATTAGATTTGCGCATTTACGAATAGTGTTTTAAATTTATGAATTGGATTTCGAATTTACAAATTGAATTTGCAGATTTACGAATTGGATTTGCGCATAGACGAATTGTATTTTGAATTTACGAATTGAAATTTGAATTTACATATTTACGAATAGGATTTTTCTATTATAGAATAGAAAAATTTTTATCTCAAAATTTTTATTTATGCGAAATATCTAAACGTTGTTTCTAGAAGCTTTTTATTTTATAAACTTAAAAAAAAAAGCATGTATATACTCACCGGCCACTTTATTAGGTACACCTTACTAGTACTGGGTTGGACCCCATTTTGCCTTCAGAACCGCCTTAACCCTTCGTGGCAGAGATTCAACAAGCTACTGGAAAAATTCCTCAGAGATTTTGCTTCATAATGACATGATAGCATCATGCAGTTGCTGCAGATTTATCAGCTGCCCATCCATGATGTGAATCTCCCGTTCCACCACATCCCAAAGGTGCTCTATTGGATTGAGCTCTGGTGACTGTGGAGGCCATTTGAGTACAGTGAACTCATTGCCATGTTCAAGAAACCAGTCTGAGATGATTCACGCTTTATGACATGGTGCATTATCCTGCTGGAAGTAGCCATCAGAAGATGGAGACACTGTGCTCATTAAGGGATGGACATGGTCAGCAACAATACTCAGGTAGGCTGTGGCTACGATGCTCAATTGGTACTAATGAGCCCAAAGTGTGTCAAGTAAATATCCACCAAACCCTTACACCAACACCAGCCTGAACTGTTGATACAAGGCAGGATGGATCCATGCTTTCATGTTGTTAATGCCAAATTCTGACCCGACCATACAAATGTCGAGGTAAGTCACTTAAATCACCTTTCTTCCCCATTCTGATGCTTGGTTTAAACTGCAGCAGGTCGTCTTGACCATGTCTACATGCCTAAATGCATTGAGTTGCCGCCATGTGATTGGCTGATAGGAAATGTGAGTTAACGAGCAGTTGGACAGGTGTACCTAATAAAGTGGCCGGTGAGTGTATAATAATATTGAAAGCATCAATAAGTAGTCTATATACAGAACTAGGATGTCAAACAGAAACACAAGCGAAAATATAAAGTCATGAACTGCTACTGAACACATTTTATGCGCTCCACGTATATGACGTACAGCTGAAAACGAATTTGTTAGCCCGTTTAACAGAAAGAAGATTTTTTTTTTCTATTAACTAATTTGTTACGTCATTTCTTGCTCATTTCATAGTTTCTTTCTGCAGTTGTCGGACAAATCTAACCTTCTTTAGTGGAATAATTGGGTTATCATGCAAAAAATTACTCTGCTTCTCTGAATTTATACCTAATATTGTCAGAAAGTTCTGAATCAATTCTTGTTTCTTAAACATATACGACTGTATTGATTAATGTGACCTCCTTTAGTTGAAGAATAGATTTATCCTTCAAAATATATTTGAATAACAAGCCAAAATACAGTTCCTCCGCCTCTATTAAAGTAGATTAAAGTAGAACTATATAGACTGACTTTATATAGATTGATAAATATAGACAGACTAATTTATATACTGTAGTTGTGTGTATTTAAATCAAGTATATTCATGCATTCATTTTCTTTTCGGCTTTATTAATCTGGGGCCGCCACTGCAGAATGAACCACCAACTTATATCAAGCATGTTTTATGCAGCTGATGCCCTTCCAGCTGCAACCCATCCCTGGGAAACACCCATACACTCATTTACACACACGCACTCACTACGGACAATTTAGCTTACCTAATTCCCCTATAGCGAATGTGTTCAGACTTTTGGGGACACCCGGAGGAAACCCACGCCAACACGGGGAGAACATGCAAACTCCACACAGAAATGCCAACTGAGCTAGACGAGGCTCGAACCAGCGATCTTCTTGCTATAAGGCTACCCACTGTGCCGCCCTAAATCAAGTATAAGTAACTGTAATTGAATGACCTGAAAATTATAAAGTAATCCCCCTGTATGTAATCAGCGAAAAAATAATTACAAATTACAGTAATTATCTAATTTCACCCATCCCTGTATGCACAAGTAGTCCGGTTTTGAAATTAGCATGAAGGACATTTAGTCCCGGACCCTGTCCTGCAAAAGTAAAGGTGTCTGGTAGACAGATCCGTCGTGCAGGAGGTGCCCTTTTAACCTCCAAACCACAGAAGCTCACCAGCAAAAAGAAGTTCAGCTTCAAGATGTTTACCGCAAGCTGATTGGTTTAACATGTGTCCACTAAATGTCCTTTAGGCTACTTTCACAACGCTACTTGCTACAAGCATACATGCTTTCAGGGATGGGTGAAATTAGGTATTTACAGTAATTAGTAATTACAGTAATTAAATAATTATTAGTTCGCTGAATAGGTAAAGTAAGGGATTTCTTTGAATTTTTTAATTGCAGTTACTTGTACTTGATTTAAATACTGTAAATACACACAACCATTTAAATAAGTCTGTCTATATAGGCTATCTAGTATATAGTTTTATCTATCAATCTATATAAAGTCAGTCTATATAGTTGTACTTTAATCAATTTAGAGAGGCGGAGGAACTGTATTTCTGTTTGTTATTCGAACATATTTTGCAGAATTAATCTATTCTTCAACTAAAGGAGGTCACATTAATCAATACACTCGCATACAAAGAATGCATTCAGAAATCTGTTTATGAGAAGCAGAGTAAGGTTTTGCATGATAACCCAATTATTCCACTAAAGAAGGTTAGATTTGTCCGACAACTGCAGAAACTATGAAATGAGCAAGAAATGAACGCCTACATTTGGAATGTATGAAATAATGTTGCGTTTAATTTGAAATGTTTTGATAGATTTCGTTTTTTTAAAAATGTAAAGGCCAGTGCACACCGAGATTTTTTTTTGTCTGCGTTTTCTGTCGACGTTTAACGCCTCGCGACGTCAATGTGCACACCAACGCGCAAAACGCCAGGCGCAAAAGCGTCATTTAAAAAAAAACGCCTCATGCTCGTTTTTTTGTTTTGCCGCGCCGCGTCAAAACCTTCTCCACCAATCAGATCGGCACTTTTGTTCACGACCACGGAGCTGCTGAAGTTACAGTAAACAGCACTTGGAGGCGCTCAAGCGCAAAACTGTCAACGCGAGCGCACATTGAAGACGACGCCCAGAGGCGATATGAACGTGGAGCTGCTTATTGCTCTGTGAACAATAATCATTTCTTTACAATAATCGCTAGAGCTGCTGCTTGAATAATCCATGCTTGTTCAAGTCACCAGTAACTTTATCAACAATCGTATGAACTTCCTCTCCTCCTCTTATGTGTTATAAGCAGGTGTCAGAAGGTTAAAGTTATGTAGCGCCATCTAACGTCAAAAGAGTGATTTTGCACACTCTTCAGCTTGACGCCAGTGAAAAGTGCTTAGGTTTGAATGCGGAAAAACGTCTCGTAAAACGCTGACGATAAACGCAAACGAAAAGCGTCCCGGTGTGTAGGAGCCTTAAGTGTTAATTTAAAAAAAAAAAGATAATATTTGACTCAAATTCAAAGATTTAAAAGTGTTTAATTTCTATTTTCTACACATTGGGATTTATAAGGATTTTGTACTGAATTTAGTAGTAGATTAAGTACTGAGTCAAGTAATTAAATTACTAATTGATTAATGGGCTATATGCACAGCTAGTGTTTTTCAGCCAGTGATAAACTTCAGGCGAAAGCTCAATGTGACTATTTTCAATTTCATAGGGTTCCTTTTACAGCATCGATGCTGTAAGGTAATTCAAATATAATCAATTAAATAGATTTAAGCATGCATTTGGTTGCTAAAGCTCAAAAAGAGATGAAAGATCATTTATCATTTAGCAGAAGGTTAGCGTAGAAAATACTGGGGTAAGTTGGCGCAATAGCCTAGTGGTTAGCGCACTGACTTATGGTGCAGTAGCACGTCAGGGCATCCCGAGTTCGAATCCAGGCTCGAGGCCATTTCCCTACCCCACCCCCTCTCTCTCTCTCTTCAAATTTGCTTCCTGTCTCAATACTGTCTTATCTGATAAAAGCAAAAAGGTGAAAAATAAATCTTAAAAAATTTAAATACTGGGGTAAAATTAATTTCCATATTTCAAAGACGTGGCGTGGAAAAATATAATTGAATGCAGTGCTGCTTGTTTGGTCTGATAACCACTTTATATCGTATCTCAGCCAGGCAGTGAAGATCGCTGATTTTTAAAGAAAGCAGATCTTAAACACAGTGATTTTGTGAGGAATGACAATTAACTGGAAGCCCTGGGGCTGGCTGACGGAAATTAAACGTCTGTGTGCATATACCCCATTCAGTTACTTTAAAGACAAAGTAATTAGAAAAGTACTTTTAAGCACAATTATTTTGAAGTAACTAGTAATTAACTACTTTTTCAAGTATCTAAACCAACACTGCTTGCATTGAAGGCAGATATATTGTAACTGGATTTCTGATTTAACTTAGAGTTTTTGATCGATTGAACTTCCATACAAGCCAGGGGTGTCACGATTTCGATTATCGAAATTTATGCTCAACTTCGATTATCGAATCAAAAAATAGAATCGTCGATGCTGCCACGCCCCCATGTCACGTCAGCTTGGCTTGCGAAGCGGGAAAAAAACAGGCTTGTTGAAGTGCTTGTTAAACTGCAGAAGCAGGAGACCCGTCGACAGAACTTAAACCCTCTCCTCTTTCAATGAAGTCGCCGGTGTGGAAGCATTTTGGATTTTCAGTGAGTTATGTTGACAACGTTCGTATTGTTAACAAAAAAAACACAGTTTGCAAGCTCTGCTATGTCCGTATTACGGTTGGGATGATTGACGATGGGCGCATCGCGATCCTCCGCCCCGCACCCGTTGCAAATCCGCTCGCGAAAAGTACACACTCAGGCCGTGTTTACAGTAATATGTCTTTGTTTTTAAATGGCATTTTAGAACGACGACGATCCACATCCACACTGGCGTATAGCATTTCTGAGCAGCCCTCCTTCCTCACTACCGCTGAAAACGCACATCACGTGACCACACACACTCATTCACACACGCACACACAATGTCATGAGCTCGAGACAGCGGGTCAAGGCGGTCAGCGGGTCAGTAGACTGCTTCCATCTTTTACTTTCACACTAGTACTTAGTCATTTTAGCGAACACCTCAGATATTGTTGGCTGGTTCCTGTTGGTTGTGCGTCTTTTTTACCGACGCCATTATAACGACACAGATCACTGCCTATTCACGAGTCCCGCAGAAAAAGTGATTGACAGGTGGTAATTATGTGTGTAACTTGCCTTTATTCATTTACTGTATGATTTATTTATGGGTAAAACAAAGACCATGCAAGTCAGGTAGTTTAAACAGTAGGCTAGAAATAATTAATTCGTTATTAATTCATTCATTATTCATAATCTAAAATCGAATCGTGACTTTAGAATCGAAAATGTAATCGAATCGAGGATTTGGAGGATCGTGACACCCTTAATACAAGCATTCCAGAATTTTTCTAAAGTTCGCTGACTAAATTGAATGAATAGTCTGCTTACCTTGAAGCCTCCTATTCGCTGGTCTCTCTTAAACTCTTTGCCGTTTTTAAGCCACTTGAGCGTCGGTGTAGGATTTCCATTGGCCTGGCAACGAAACTTCACGGTTTTACTGGCAGGAACCGCATGTAGCTTCTTCTCCATCTTATCAGGTTGAGCCCAGACGGGGGCCATCGCTGAGGGACAGATAGAAAGAAGATAAAGAAAAGGAAAACAAATCCACAATATCAACTATATCAGGGATGTAAGATAGTGAAGTTGTTCAAACATTTCAAACATCAGTCTTTCTACTGAATTTAAAGGCACAGTATGTGATTTTCACCCCTAGAGGGCGTGTGTTCACAACAACCAAATGCGCTAGCTAAAACGTCTTATTTCTTTGCATTTAAACATTTATAATAATGTAAGTACATACGCCAGCAAAATATATAACACTGTTCTAGCAGTTTTAGGATATTATAATTAAAAACTACATACGTAATATGCCTTTAATAGCGTTCATTGCTCTAGCTAATCAGTCAAAATACTTTCAATAAATTTAATGTTTGTTTGTTTGCTAATGCTTTTTGCTAATGGTAAATTGGCTAATGCTAACCCTAACCCTACATTTAATACTAAACATACTCTTATCACTAAAATGCTGGGTTTTAGTAACCCAATCTTAAGTCAAATACGGACAAACTCAATGTTGTTGTTTTTTTTCCATTTAAATTTTAATTACAATTTTAACACAATGGTTGGGTTTGTCCATATTTAACCCAACACTCTTCTCCATCTTATCAGATTGAATCCAGACGGGTGAAATCAGTGAGAAAAAAACATAAAACAATGGATATCAAAAATATGTTACAATGTGTTGGCGCCAACAGCCTAGTGGTTAATACAGAGACCCGAGTTTGAGTCCTGGTTCGATAAACTCCACTGTCCTACCCATTAAAGCTGAAATATATATATCTATAAACTGTAATTTGAACTATATCACGTCTCAGCCAGGGATGTAAGATAGTGAAGTTGTTCAAACAATTCAAGCATCTTTTTTATATGGAATTTAAAGAGGAATTAAAAGCACAGTATGTAATTTTCACTACTATATATATATAGTGAAGTTGTTAAAAAATTTAAGCATCTCTTTTTATATGGAATTTAAAGAGGAATTAAAAGCACAGTATGTAATTGTCACCACTAGAGGGCGTGTATTTACAACAAACAAATGTGCTAGCTAAAACGGCTTATTTCTTTAGATTTGGACATTCGTCGAAACATTTAGAATAATATAAGTACATCCGTTAGCAAAATAAATAACACTATTCTAGTGGTTTTGGGATATTTAAATGAAAACATTGTGCATATTGTCACTTTTTACGGTGTTCATTAAAAACACTGTACTAGTTTCAATGAATTTAATGCTTTTGCTTGCTAATGCTAAACCAGCTAATGCTAATTTAATGCTAACTCTAAGTTTAATGCTAAACATACTCTAAAAATTTATCTTAAAAATGTTGGGTTGTTGTTGGGTCAACATTACAGTATGTTGGATCAAATACGGACAAACTCAACACTGGGCTAATTTTTTCCAATTAAATTTAAAGGACAAACTTTAACCCAACGCTTGGGTTTGTCCATATTTGACCCAGCAATCTTCTCCATCTTATCATGTTGAGTCCAGACAAGTGCCATCGCTGGGAAACAAATAGAAGATGAAGAAAAGCTAAATATGATCTACACCAGGGCAGTGACCGTCTCAGAGCAGAGATCTAACAAAATAAAGGTACATTCTTTGAGAGTGACTGTATTAAGGTGACTGTAGACCAAAGTGTGCAGGATTAGGGTGTTGGCTGTGATCGTGCCCTTGGGACTCAAACAATAATCCATCAAAAGAAATGAAAACGTTCAGTCTAATGAACAAAAGCTCCGCACATTCCACAAGACGGCTGTGGTTTTTAAGACAAAAACGTGCACCATTTCCTGTTAGAACTCCTGCTTTAAGGGGACCGTTTCACCCTAAAATGGAAATTCAATTCATTTGTTTAAAACATCTTTTAGATTCTTTCTACCATTGACTTCCATAGAATTTTTTTTCTTTCTACCACTGACTTCCATAGTATCTTTTTGTTTTTATCATTGACTTCAATAGTATTTTTTGTTTCTACCATAGGGTTTCATAGTATTTTTTTGTTTTTTTTCTATCACTGACTTCCATTGTCAAGTTTTCCTCCTACCTTTGACTTTCGTAGTATTTTATTCTTCTGCCATTGACTTCCATTGTCAAGTTTTCCTTCCATCATTGACTTCCATAGTATTTTATCCTTCTGCCATTGACTTCCATAGTATTTTATCCTTCTGTCATTGACTTCCATAGTATTTTATCCTTCTATCATTGACTTCCATAGTATTTTATCCTTCTGCCATTGACTTCCATAGTATTTTATCCTTCTGTCATTGACTTCCATAGTATTTTATCCTTCTGCTATTGACTTCCATAGTATATTTTCCTCCTGCCATTGACTTCCATAGTATTTTATCCTTCTACCATTGACTTCCATAGTATATTTTCCTCCTGCCATTGACTTCCATGGTATATTTTCCTTCTGCCATTGACTTTCATAGTATTTTTTTCTTTCGACTACTGGGTTCCATAGTATTTTTGTTTCTACAATTGACTTACATTGTCAAGTTTTCCTTTTTACCATTTACTTCCTTAGTATTTTTCCTTCTTTCATTGACTTCAATAGTATTTTATCCTTCTGCCAATGCTTTCCATAGTATTTGTTCCTTCTGCCATTGACTTCCATATAATTTTTTTCCTTTTACTGCTGGGTTCCATCATATTTTTGTTTCTGCAATTGACTTCCATTGCGATTTTTTCCCCCTTTTTTACCATTGACATCTATAGTAATTTGTTTTTCCTACGATTGAAGTCAATGTGTTCCAGCATTCTTTAAAATATCTTCTTTTGTGTTCAACAGAAGAAAGAAACTTATAAAAGTTTAAAAACACATAGGGAGAGTAAACAATGAGGAATATTTCATTTTTAATGAGCTACCCTTTTAAAAGATGATCCGAATACCTTTGTATGGAACAGATACAGAGTTTCGGGCAACATAGAAAAGGAAAGCAACCATTGTCCTCCATAGTAATTAGTTTCTTCTTACTACCATTGACTTCCATTGCATTTTTTTTTCTTTTTCTTTCTACCACTGACTGCCATAGTATTTTTTTTCTATCACTGACTTTGACAGTATTATTTTTACAATTGACTTCCATAGCATTTTTAAGAAAGGAAAGCAACTCACGAAGATTTTGGTCATTTGATAGCTTGGCCTCCTCTGAGGAAGAATCCACCTCGTCTTCTTCATCTGGAAGAAATCAATTCATTTCGGTCAATAAAGAAAGTTCAGTTCACTTTTCTTCAATAAGAAAATCATCAAGTCATTAATCAGCATGTATTAGGGCTGCATGATACTGGAAAAATACACCATATGCGATATATATTGTTGTTGAGTATTGTGATAATGACATTTCTTACGATACTTTCCATAAAATAATAATTCTATTTTAATTAGGTTAGTTTTTAAATAATTTATATAATGATATTAAACAAGAAAAAATATATTTTTTCAGATTTAATTAATCTCAAAAACTGTGTCAAACATGAAAACATTATAAGAGAGTGAAAACCTCAGCAGATATTCTGACTCTGATTGGCTGTTTTTCATCTAGACTCCACCTATTAGTCTTTATAGCTCAGCTCTGGGTTCAGCTTCAGCCATTAGCAGAACAGCAACTACGTGGGAGGCGGGGCTAAATACAGTAAGGCCTTACCTGATTGGTCAATCAACAACCAATGCATAAAATAAATGTATTTGATCACACAAGAGTGCGATACTTCTATTGCATGTACTTTTATCGCGATAATGATAATTTTGTGATGTATTGTGTATTCAGTTGCATTCTCACCTGTAACACTGATATTGAAGTATTCTGTATGGTTGCTGTTGAGTCCCTGAGCAAAGCAAGCATACAGACCAGAGTCGGTCGGCTCTACTTTCTCGATCTCCATCTGATCGTTGCGCAGGCGTGTGTGTTCTCCGTCAACCAGTGGAACGAGGTCCTTGGTCCAGGTCACTTTCTGTGTGTCCTCTTTAGCTTTACAGGACAGCTCCAGTTTCTCTCCTGAATCCAGAGTGTACGATGTGGGCTCAGCCGGGGCTATATCAGGATATAAGAAATTAAAGTGGTTAAAACCACAGCAATCCAAATGATCCATTTCTACAGGATTATAAGTAGACCTAATATGCAAAATTCGCTTTTATAAGGGGTTTAAACAGTTCTGTGGGAAAAAGTGTGTAAATATATCCAGTCTCTAATCGTAAAAATTAATTCTATTCTTTATATTCACACGTGATTAAAACAGTCTGCAGAAACACTTTGAATGAAAGCCCCACCCATTAGTGACCATCTCTTCCTCATTAGCATAAACAGCCCTGAGTGAGAAGCAGGAGTCTAATTTGATTGACATTCTCCCTTTGTACGTGTCATTCGAGTGGAAAAGCCCCGCCCACTAGTGACCATCTCTCCTTTGTTAGCATAAACAGCCCTCAGTGAGAAGCAGCGGTCCAGTTTGATTGACATTCCTCTCTGCATGTGTCAGAGTGAGAAAGCCCCGCCCATTAATCACCATCTCTCCCTCAAAAGAATACAAAGCCCTGAGTGAGAAGCAACCATCCACTTTGATTGACATTCTCCCTTTGTACGTTTCAGAGTGGGAAAGCCCCGCCCACTAGTGGCCATCTCTCCCTAATTAGCATAAACAGCCCTCAGTGAGAAGCTGCCGACCACTTTGATTGACTTTCTCCCTTTGTAGGTTACATCAGAGGGGGAAAGCCCCGCCCACTAGTGACCATCTCTCCGTCATTGGCATAAACAGTCCCGAGTGAGAAGCAGGAGTCTAATTTGATTGACATTCTCCCTTTGTACGTGTCATTCAAGTGGGAAAGCCCCGCCCACTAGTGACCATCTCTCCTTTGTTAGCATAAACAGCCCTCAGTGAGAAGCAGCGGTCCAGTTTGATTGACATTCCTCTCTGCATGTGTCAGAGTGAGAAAGCCCCGCCCATTAATCACCATCTCTCCCTCAAAAGAATACACAGCCCTGAGTGAGAAGCAACCATCCACTTTGATTGACATTCTCCCTTTGTACGTTTCAGAGTGGGAAAGCCCCGCCCACTAGTGGCCATCTCTCCCTAATTAGCATAAACAGCCCTCAGTGAGAAGCTGCCGACCACTTTGATTGACTTTCTCCCTTTGTAGGTGTCATCAGAGGGGGAAAGCCCCGCCCACTAGTGACCATCTCTCCGTCATTGGCATAAACAGTCCCGAGTGAGAAGCAGCAGTCTAATTTGATTGACATTCTCCCTTTGTACGTGTCATTCAAGTGGGAAAGCCCCGCCCACTAGTGACCATCTCTCCTTTGTTAGCATAAACAGCCCTCAGTGAAAAGCAGCGGTCCACTTTGATTGACATTCCTCTTTGCATGTGTCAAGAGTGAGAAAGCCCCGCCCATTAATCACCATCTCTCCCTCAAAAGAATACACAGCCCTGAGTGAGAAGCAACCATCCACTTTGATTGACATTCTCCCTTTGTACGTTTCAGAGTGGGAAAGCCCCGCCCACTAGTGGCCATCTCTCCCTCATTAGCATAAACAGCCCTGAGTGAGAAGCAACCATCCACTTTGATTGACCTTCTCCCTTTGTACATCATAAATCCGCTGTGTAAAAACGTGCTGGATAAGTTGGCGGTTCATTCCGCTGTGGCGACCCCGGATTAATGAAGGGACTAAGCCAAAAAGAAAATGAATGAATGAATTTACAATTTTTTTATTTCTTTTTTTCAATTTGACTGATTATATGGACGCCAGAAGACAACGTTTACAGTCTATTCTTCTGTACTCAGAGTTCAGACTGTAAGGACTGAGTCCTCTGGTATCCATATAATGGAAGTCAATGGGTGGAGTCACCTATAAACTTAAGATTTTTCTAAAATCACCTACATCTAGAATGAGTTGAGGGTGAGTAATAAACAGAAAGCATTATTTTTGGGTGAATTATCCATATATGAACAATCTCACAACAAATCAAAGTTCATCTTTCTAACTTCCTGTTTAAAAAAGTTCCAGAAGGCTGTAAAAGTCTTGCATCTTACATATAGCAAAGTGCCTTGGAGCGCCAATGAAAGAAGCCATCTCAATCACTGCCAAATCTAATCGAAGTTTGAATTAGTCGAGGGCCAATTGTCAGGCCAATCCTGAGATAGAGCTCAAATGTGATTATGGGATGCAGGGTTGGGGGCACTGTCTCAGACAGCAGCACCTGCGCCCAACCCGTCTCCCCTGACAACCAGCCCAGTTTAAATATTGTTACGCTGATTCAATGTCCATCAACATCATGTCATTCGTCTGCACCTTCGAGAAGCTGGATCTTCACTCTTTAAGTCTTGTGGGGTATGTACTGGTGAATTATCCTGGTTAATATAAATGATTTTTGCTGACAAATCTTGTTTTGGGAAAATGTTTTGAAAATAAAAAAAAAACAAAAAGTCAACAGTACACTCTTGGTAAATCGACTCCCCTTTCAGTATGTTGGGGTCTGTTTTTGCCCCATTGGCTTCCATTATACTGACATTTTTTGATTGCAAAGACATGACACCATATAATCATGCATTCTTGATTGTTGGTGGTTTTCCCTGTTGAGAAGAGGTAAACAGTGTCATTTTCACTGACGGTCATCAGTTGGCAACATTAACCCTTTAGATAGGCTTGTGCAAAAACATTTTTGGCTTGTATATGGAGTTCTGTGGAGTAAAACAGCAGTTTATAGTGTGTGTGTGCAGAAATAAATTCACCTGGCTGATGATTAGATGTAATTCAAGACACTAATCTCACGATTCAGTCGTGATTTTTTAACAAAATTATTTAAAACTATTTTAAAGTGAAGATTTTTTTCTTAAATGCTGCACATTTTTAGCTAAATATTACATTTTCTGCCATAACTACAATGCTATTTAAACAGGAGTTGAACATGATTATAAGGGTGAATAATTAATATTACTTGTATAATTAATTAGTATAAGCATCAGTGTGATACACTAAAGAGATAACCTTGAACATTTTTAAATATTTAAAAGCAAGCAAATTAGTAAAATATGCATAAACTAATTTGAAAAGGAGACGGTAAACATAATCTAATAGTTGCTTCTGTAACTGCTCCACGTGGTTTGGATTATTAATAGTTTTTTAGCGTATAAACGTCTGTGATGGTAGTTTTAAACTGTGCTGACGGTTTCTGTGCGTCATATTCGTTCTTCTGTTAGTGTAGGTAAGTGTCTTTTTGCAGTATTTTCACACAGCTTGTGTTTGTCTGGCGCACTTCACTGCTGTCATTTTACTCTGCCGCCCTACCTCTTGCTCACCGCTGATGTGCAGTTAAAGCAAGATTCAATCAAGCCAATCGGGCAAAAACTGTCCCGAACATAACGAAAAGGTAGTCAATTTGCCCAGAGTGTATGTTGTTTACTTTTAAAAACTAATTTTTAAAGAATTTCCCCAAAATATGTGTCAAAATAAGATCTGTCAGCAAAAATCATTCTATTTGTTGAAACATAGCGGCCAAATTAAGAATAAAAATCACTCCAGAGTGGATGAACAGCACATAAGGGTTAACTAAACACACTAATTTTGCTAAGAAGCACATACTGACATCATATGCTAATTTGTACTAACAGTAAGCCGAGGCGAGATTTTCACATTTACAAAACAAATGATGACTGCCACGTATTCAAATGGTAATTGAATTAATTTCCATTCAGTAATAATGCATTTGAGTTGCCCCCAGGGATCTGAGTGTTACCTAATGGCTTCCTGTAAAAGATGCAGAAGGACTTGATTGTTTAGAGAAAAAAAAGGTCAAATTTCCATGAAATGCCTCTAGCTGAAGAAGACATTTGCACTATTGTTTTGAAATGTGAGTAAATCTAAAGAAACAATGCGTGGCCTATATTCTACTGCGACACAATGGTAGAAAGACCTGGCAACTAAATGTGACTTCGAAGTATAAATGTCAAAATTGACAAAAGAAAAAAATATATATCAGCAAAAAAAGTGCACATTTAAAGGGATAGTTCACCTAAAAAATGAAATATGGTCATCAATATTTTATATTATAATTTATTTATTTATTTATATATTTATATTATTATATATTTTTTATATTTGGAAAATTTTGATTAAACCTATCAGCATTCAAGTGTGGATAAAATATGAACACGTGAATAAGAAAAAAAGTTAAATTTTTCATTAAATTTTTCATTAAAAAGTTTTTCATTAAAAGAAGAGGCTTGGTGCTTTTCTTTAATGTATAATATTGTACATATTGCTAGCAGAAAATATTTGGAGGGTCGTCAAATTTTGCTTTAAAATAATCATCAAAAATTATTGCAACTAAAAGAAAAAGAAAAGAAAAAAACACTGGCAGGGAAAGAGTTAAGAATAGGGCTGCTCAAAATATAGTAAAATTATCACAATAATAGCATATGCAATATCCGTATCGCAGAGAGGTGCGATAAATTAAATATATTTTATGTGGCAAATGCATAGTTTATGTAAATCTGTAGCTGGCACGAATTGACTTCCATAGAATATTATGGAAGTCAGTTGGTGCCAGCAATCATCAAAGTAGGGCTGTATGATATATCAAAAAAGATCATTATCACAATAATAGAATATGCAATATGCGCATCGCAGAGAGGTGCGTTAAATAAATATACTTTATGTGGCAAACGTAAAGCTTATCTAAATCTGTAGCCGGCACAAATTTACTTCTGTACAATATTATGGATGTTGGTTGGTTCCATTAACCAGAAATCTTTAAAGTAGGGCTGCACGATATTTAGAAAAATTATTGCTATAATAGCAGATGCAATACACGTATTGCAGAGAGGAGCGATAAATTAAATAATTGTATGTGGCGAATGCATAGTTTATCTAAATCTAGTGCTGGCACGAATTGATTTCCACAGAATATTATGGAAGTCGATTGGTGCCAGTAACCAAAAATCTTCAAAGTAGGACTACACACTATATAGTGAAAAATTATCAAAATATTAGGATATGCAATATCCATATCACAGAGAGGTGTGATAATTTAAATATATTT